CGGCTGGAAACGAAAGTGCGAAGGGACCCCCGCGGTGGCTCTGCCCCGCCCCCCCGGTCCCTCCCATCCCCCACGCGGGGCCGTGGGTGCCGCGGGGTGGGTGCCCACGGGCAGCCCAGCTCGCCTGCGCTGGGTCATCCCGGGAAACTGGGAAGAGCCAAAAAACTGAAACTCGGGCCTGGAGACGCAGGGCAAGGGCAGGCAGGGACAGGACGACCGGCAGGGGCCGCAGGCAGGCAGGCAGGGGTGGTGGGCAGGAGCAGGGGCAGGCAAGAACGAGAAAAGGAAAGGGACAGGGGGTAGGGGCAGGAGCAGAAAGGGGAGGGACATCAGGGCATGGGCAGGAGACGGGCAGGAGGGGGACAGGGATGGGGCAGGGACGGGCAGCAGCAGGGGCAGGGACAGGCGCAAGGATGGGGATGGACGTGGGGTGCAGCTGGGCGCAGGGACAAGGTTAAGGGTACGGGCAGGGACAGGGGCAGGGCAGGGGAGAGATGGGCAGGGACAGGGGCTGGCACAGGGAAAGCAGCAGGACAGGGACAGGGGTAGAGATGGAGCAGGGACAGGGGCAGGGATACAGGCTGGGGCAGGGACAAGGACAGAAACAGAGATACAGGCAGGAGCAGCGACATGGCCAGGGCAGGGATATGGGGAGGAGCAGGGATGAGTGTCCCCTTAGTGTTGGGTGACAATGGGACGGGGACCAGGACAGCAATACAGGCAGGGGCAGGGGTATCAGCAGGGATACAAGCAGGGATAAGGGCAGGGGCAGAGGTAGAGACAGGGACAGGGGCGGAAATGGGGACAGGAGCAGGTATTTGGGCAGGGATGGGGCAGAGATACAGGCAGGGGCAGGGACAAGGATAGAATCAGAGATACAGGCAGGAGCAGGAGTGGGGCAGGAGCTGGGGAAAGGACAGAAGCAGGGATATGGGCAGGTATGCAGGCAAGGGCAGGGATATGGGCAGGGACAGGGACACAGGGATGTGGGCAGGGAAAGGGAAGGGACAGGACTAGCAGCAGGCATAGGGGCACAGGCAGGGGCAGGGACGGGTGTCACAAGCACTTCACACCTGGCCCTTGTGCCCCCAGGAGCAAGGTGAGAATGACAAGTCATTCTTTGTTTGCACCAATGGGGTGTCCCAGCCAAATCGGGGCACCCCAAATGTGGTTTCACACATGGCTCTCATGCCCTTCAAGTGATGGGGTAAGCATGGCGCGACCAATCCCCACTCCCCCCCGACCTGCTTTGCAAAGCTGCTGCAACTCCATGGTGGCGGCACTCTTCTTCCTTCCTCGAAGTGTCCCTGGAGCCGGTCTCGCTAAGGGTACTTATCTGTGAGCCAGCTAACGGGAGGGTCTCAGGGAGGTGTTGGAGGGGCTGGGCTGCTGGCCTTATCGCGGCAGTCCAGGGGTAGCCTTCGTCCTTTGTGGTGAGGCTGTCCTCCTCCTTCTCCTCGTATCTATCTGGGGTCCTGTAGCCATGCCTACTGAACTGTAACTAGGCAGTATACAACGTAAACTATAGACATGTATCTCTTTGAGAAAGTTCATATCGTTTCAAACTATAAAGACTAATTGGTACGATAGCTAGGGAATGAGATTTTCCTAGCGAGATGCAGGCAGGGGCAGGGACAGGGGCAGAAGAAGGGGTATGGGCAGGGGTCTGGGCAGGGATAGTAACAGG